TCTTGTCTCGTAAGGTAAATGATCTTTTATCTTATTTAGGAGAAATACTTTTGATGCAAGTTTTTTTTAGACATGTCTGCTATCTGTGCTTCCCAATTAAGGTCTTGGTCAATTTAAATTCCATGTAATTTTGCGGTAGTAACCGTCTCAATTTTCTCACCATGGAGTGATAAAGTTAGATTTTTCTGATTTCTTTTGTGTTTTGATAAAATCAGCATTGATTTTGTTTTCGAAGGATTGATTACCATCCCATTGTTTTCACACCATTTAGCAACCAAATACAGATCATTTTGGAGTTTATTGGCGATGGATAAAATATCTTTGTGTGAACAATGCAGGGTACTGTCATCAGGAAACAAATCTATCTGACTTGATTCAATATTGAGTGGAAGATCATATTTAAAAATAAGGAATGTGAGAGGACTTAGCATCGACCCTTGTGGAACCCCGCATTTGACTATAGTAATTGAAGAGGTAATGGGTCCTAAACAGACTTTTTGCTTCCGAGAGTCAAGATATGATTCAATCAAAATTTGTGAATATTTTTCAAATCGATAAAGATGTAGTTTTTCGATAATAAGCTTGTGATCAATGAGATCAAATGCTTAGCTAAAATCAAGATACACTATACCACTCATCGCACCATTATCGATAGCATCAAGCCAATTATCCCTTATTCGGATCAGTGCAGTAGCACATAAATCATTTGATCTAAATCCAGATTGGTACGCATAAAGAACATTGAATGTTTTCAAATAGGATTGAATTTGAGTGCTCAAGTGCCTTTCGAATATTTTTGAAATTGTAGGGAGAATTGAGATAGGCCTATAATTGTTCGGATCATCTTTAGCTCCCTTCTTATGTATAGGAATAATTTTAGCAAGTTTAAGGGCACTTGGGAACATGGTTTGAGAAATACAAAGATTAATGATATATGTCAAACTGCTACAAATTGTATACGCATCGTTTTTTCGAGATAAATCTCGTGTGAGGACGTATTTCCAGACTTTGTGTGACTATCTTTTCATTTAATTACATTAGTTTGGTCTGGAAGCGCTCATGTGAACAATTGCTATAACACACGTTATCATTCGTATTTGTCTATAACAAACGATATCATTCTTCTATTTCTAAAACATACCTTATCATTCTTATATGTCTATAACAAATTTTTTCATTCCTATATAATTATTGTCTTTCTATAACAAACTTTATCATTCTTATATTTCTATAACAAACTATATCAGTCTTATGTTTCTATAACATACAATACCATTTCCATATGTTTATAAGACATCTAATCGTTCTTACATACTATAAAAATCTTGGTCACATAATGACCGTTCGTACAAGTTTATCTTTCTCACCTGTATAGAATAAACTTTGTCAAGCGACGTTTACCTGTTTATAACAAACTGTAGCATTCTTACAATCTTACCTGTCGGTAGCAAACTTTCTTATTCACACCTTCAGATGCTATGCAGTTTTCACCAGATTCAAACAAAGAGCACATTTTCTTTTCTTTATCAAACATAAACCTTCGACAATTTTGATCAGATGAGCATAGTTGACCACAGACTATTTTTGATAAACTCTCTTGGTGGATGAAGGCTTTATTGTAACTTTTCTCCGTACAAGAATGCATTTCTGGAATGACATTTGTCTTTATGTAAAGAGAATCTGAATCTGTACAAATCGCACAAATGAAAATCGACTGCAGAATCAGAAAATAGCCTTTCATGATGGTGATTAAGCTTTCTGGTAATTCACAAGCACTACCACGCCCTACTGTTAGAATTGTTGTCTATTCTCATTGACATGTTATTGTATACACCTTAACACCATGCCTTAATATTTCTTCCTATTAACACAATGGCTGTATATTCATTCCTAAAATCAATAAACTCTCAGATCTCAAAATGTTTGTTTACTAAATGGAAGTTGTTCCGGTGAAAAACAAGAGATGAAGAAGAATAGCCCAACATTAATCTTTATATAAAACCGTGTAATGAAATCATGAGAAAATGCCCGTGACTTATCAATATATATCATTCGAGAAACTATCAAAAGAAGATTTAAAACGATACCGATAAGTAGGCCTACTCTATGTCCTAAAGGCTTTAATGGAAATGTATTTCAAACTTCCGTTTAAATTGTTTGCATGAAAAGCTTTATTTATTATCAATCTATCGTTAATAGATAAACCATAATACATCAATTCTTTTCGACCTTTGTTTCGTGTAGATACATTAATGTCTTACTTAAATACTTACACGGACAGCTTTTTACAACTTACTTTCACTAGTTTCAATTGCCGGTCAGGTACGGTAAAATGTAGGGGCGGATCCTAGTTTTTTTTAAAGGAAGCTGTCATCCAACGATTCTCAGCCGTAACCTAAAAATCCCATAAGTGTACAGTTTTGATGCTAAAGATGCTGTTAATTCTAGTTCGAGAGCCCTTATTAATATTCCGTCTTGTTACAAATTGATATTTCATGGACTTTATGATAAATAATGATATTATGATGGTGTATTCAATAAAATGAAACTAGACCAAGAGTTAAAAACAAAACATGTTTCGCATTACCAGCGTGGAACAGCAGTTTGTTGCAGCCTGGATCCGCCAACGGAACCCCACTTTGATTCTCTTACCCTGCCCCCCCCCCCCTTATACAAATTTCGTTTCGTCTGGCGTGGTTTGCATTATTACGAACTCTAAACACATTACTAATAACAGATTTTTCAACCAAGAGACAATAACGTTCAAATACACTTACGATTAATAATGATTTTTTTTGTGAATGGGATATTTTGAAACGACTTTGGTGGCCGAATGATCTAACGCATGTGCTTTAAGTCATTAGGTCTGTCATTGAGTCATGCGGCGTGGTTTCGATTCCTAGCTTGTATAGACTAGGTGACAAGGTGTGGTCCCCCGTTTCCTCCAAATTCTAAAGACCCGTAAACGCGTTGAGATATACTGATGAGTTTACACGCAGGGTGGAGAGATGTACTCCAGTCGCCGTTAATTAGTAGGGTACTTCACCTTGCATATTATTTAAAGTAGCTAAGTCTCTAACTCAATATTATCCATAACATTTGAAATTAAAAACACGAATTAGAATTCAACATTGATCAATTTCAATCAACATTGATGTTGTTATCTTGAGCGTGAAAGTATAGGATCCTAATATCCAATATTTAAGACACAATTAACATTTTATAATCGGTACACGAGTCGTGTAACCTATGGTTTCGAGGGCCATTTTGTAATGAACAATTAAAAATATTTAACCTACAACACAATGTGGAAGTAATTAGTAAAGGCTGATTCACAAACGACAAAATAATAATTTTAAAAAATGTGTAGAATGAACTAAGCAGACGTAAACGACTGCCGTTCAATTTGAACAGTTCAGGTATTTCACCGAACATAATTGATAAGAAATTACAATATTTTTCAAAAATTAAACATAAATCACTTTACATACATTCATATTACATTAATATGTGCTCTAAGAACCATTTTCGTCTATTTAAAAAATAAAGCCATTCATCCTTTAAGCATCCAATAATCAAACCTATTACTTTGTATCCTTGTGAAGCTTGAGGTGATTTTTACTAAAAGTTACAGTCCATTAATGTCATTAATTGTTAAAGAGATGTAGACTGATAATAGTACATAGATCAGTCAAATTCAAATTGTATTTTAGGAAAGCGAAGTTTGGACTAGAAATAGGCATACACTGTGTCTACGAGCATTGCCGATCGTTTGATCGACAGACGATAACTCCACCCACATATTCTCGATTATCAAGTAACAAGTAACCCTCGCTTTGTGGGCCTTTCATCGCCAGTTTCCGGTAGTGACGCCAGTGACTAACGGTAAACGTTAGCTTGGCCGGCCATTTCTTGATTTAATTTTAAATGGACGACTGTTTAAATCCAAGCTGTATCCAAGCCATAGATTTTGAGCTTTTCATGTAAATAAAGGTCTAATTAATAATTTCTATAACATCTGAAGTCTAAATAAAAACTTGCACTAGGCAGATTTAGCTCTTGCAGACTGTATAAGTAGGGGACTTAATGTTCAAAAACAGAGGCGGAAAATGAGTGAAACTACATCCGAACAACTATGGCTGGTACAGGTCAATATGAAATCCTATCCAGCTCATATCATTTTATGTTCAGGTTGTCCACAGAGTCAATATCAGGTGTAGCCTCCGCCAGCATGGGTCACCTGTTGAACTGTATTCCACATTTAGCCTACTGAATGAGACATTGGATAGCAGCTTGCGTTAGGCTTTTCCATTACTTGTGTAGTGCCTAATCGAAATGGTTACTACGTCTACAACGATGTTCTGGACCTCTCTTTGGTACCGTTACCTCTGTTACCAGTGGACGCTTATTGTCATATGAAAGACAACACCATACTAATATAGAACCGCCGGCGAATGGAACCTGCACTGGGATCTTCCTCTGGATATGTCATGATCCGTCATGAACAAGAGAAAGTGACTCTTATCCGACCAATAATGCTGACTCATTCGGGACCATGCTTGTCCTGAAGCCTTACTGCCAGGTGTCGTCTGATAGGTCTGCTGGCGCCATATCCATCCGATTAAGAACAGTTCTGTAGGATAGAGAGCAGTGAGGTAACCAACATAGCTTAGCGCAAAAAGGATGACGTCGCACAAGTCTCAAAATTCTAGTGTATATATTTAGACCTAGAAGTAGACAAGAGACAACATGAGAGAGAGAATCGGGTTCAACGTCCATTCTACACCATTTTGAGATTAACATATGGTACAATTTTATTTCAATAATTCGCTAGCAGTGGGAGGAAACCGGAGGACCCAGAGAAAACTTACAAGGTTAGGTAGGAGACACCACGCCACTTGAATCAATGGCAGACCATATGATCTCAAATCCATGCATTAGATAATTGGGCTACCCAACACACCCTACATAACAAGAGTAAGTCTGTTTATAATATAATATGAACACAAAACAAGATATTTATTATGACATTAAGAATTTGTACAATATAGAACATTATCCACTGAAGAAGAATAAAAGGGGTGCACTAAGTAATCTTAGACTTAAATAATGAACAGTATACTGAACACCTCCTATGAAAGATGGTGGGTTCATTTTGCCCAATGATTTCTGATTTTTAACACAACCTTCTATCTCAATCAAAAGATACATTTGTGGCATTTGGCAGTGTTTGGCAATTGGGCAAAACAAACCCACCGAATAAAAGATGAATAAAAATATAGATTAGTATAATGATATATGACATTAAATATCTACCATTTGGCATCCTCATCATTATTATCTTCCGATTCTATTGTGCTCTAGACAAATGAAAATAGAGTTGAGTAAAACACAAACAACAGCTAAGGGACCCCAGGACAAATAAATTATACATTACAGAAAAGGTGCTATAAATTATATACATGAACATAAAGACAATAGTGCAATACAAGTACATAACCCTGTACAATAAATGTAATGCTATATTAAAGAAGATGGCACGTCTATATTCTAACAATAGACAACCATGACAAATATTAAAAACACTCTAACCTCAGTTCAAACACTAATCTAAATATTGCTCATGTGATGTCAATGGAAAGCGAGAGAGAGAGAAATGGGGTTTAACGTCTACTCGACACAAACTAGGTCATTTCGGGACTAACACATGGTTTTATTTTATTTCAATAATTCGCTTGCGCGTAGGGGTCTTTAGCAGTGGGAGGAAACCGGAGAAAACCCACGAGGTTGGACAGGTGACCCTACTCCTTGTCACGTACAACCAGGGATTCGAAACCACGCCAGTTAACTCAATGACAGGCCTCATGATACAGCGTGCACATGCTAACCATTCAGCCATCCAACCCCCCTAATGTCAATGGCGATGCAGTTCAAACACTAAATTAAATATTACATTTGTGGTGTCATTGACAGATCCAGAACTAGCAATTGTCATTTGGAGTGAGAAGAAACAAAACTAACATTAAATTTTATCACCTAAAATAAATAAGGTTGATTACCCTAAGTAGAATCCGATGTTAAGCTCCAAGATGGATGATTTACTAAAAACATCGCTATTTTTTAGCTTGGGGAGGCCATATTGACAGATCTGGTTGTATTGATGATTTGACTAATATATTTTGTAACACGGGTTGTAGAACCTAAAATTTGTTTGAAAGGTGATCCAAGTAGCTGTCACCATTCTCTGCCTTTTATTAGAATATAGAAATAACTCCTTTAAACACAGTTATAGTTGATGATATGTAAGCAAATGAATAAATTTCATAATCCGAAACATGATTATATACAGTTATTATAATTATAATATGAAAAAAAAAATGAAAAAAAATCACCATTTACAAATCCATTCAGAAACTAACACAATTATTGATAAAGGTGGATCTGGAAGGGATCCCCTTATTTTCCAATCACCATCTACACTCACTCTAAGAAAAATATTTAGTCTTTTAAAACATATTTTTCATTTTCATATACATGTATTACTTTAAGCAAGCCTGTAAGTAAACAGCTTGTCACTGAAAATTACCAGGCACAATTCCACTGGTGCCAATCATTTTGGCTGGCACAGATTTATATTTTTCCTGTAATTTTACTGATATTTTTTATAGTGTAGCATCACTTTAAAAGGGTATTCCCACTATAGGAATACCAAATACTTGCTGATCACTAAAGATAATAGTTCTAGATTGCATTTGAGCTTGATCACACCAATTCATATTAAGATTTCTGATATATGATCTAAAACTAAATATACTTATTTTGTTGACAAAGTTACCTTTTTTAATATTAAACAACTCTAAATACAATGTATAATTAATAACAGAATGTGCAATAATCTTATTGTGCAAATATTAAAGATACTACCAGACTGTATACAGCCTTACTTCTATAGCTATTATGAATATTTCACTTTTCTTTTTAATTTCAACATTAAAGGGCCAATTCCGATAATATTTTGGAGAATAAAATTGCTTAATTTTGTGTTAAAATCCCTTACCTTAGGGCTGAGCAACTAACTCAAAATATGTGATATGTTTTCAAACAACTTAAACCCATCAGTCTTCATCTGGAAATGGAGACCGGTGTCCCAAGCTGTATTATGCGGTGTCTGGATAACACCAGACTTTTATTTTATAAAAATGTGTAGGTGTAATATAACTTTCGTTATCAAGTGCATCAGATGGGTGATTCACTATCCAGATCTCTAAAGGAATGGGAATCGATATTAGGTAACCCAACGAAAAGATTGAACCGAAATCTTAAAAGGGTTCCGGATAAGCAGTTTTGACGTTCATGTCCAAACAACTCAATATTTTGAGCTGACATTTGGTACTCACACTTTTTATTTTTGAGACTATGTTCAAATCGGGATAGTCTCTTTAATTCCAGTTATAAAAAAAGAATACTGGTGGTTCTTAAAAGCATAAAGAATTTCATAATGAAAGCACATAATGAAAGCGTACATGGAAAATGGGCTTAAGAATTTCACAATGAAAGCCCATAACCAAGTGTTTTCTTGAACACACAAAGAATTTTATAATGAAAGCCCATAACAACTGGCTGCCCTTGAACACAATTAGGAATTACATAATGAAAGCCCATAACATACATAGGTGTTCTGAACTGACAGTACTGCAATCAAGTGAGGAAGAATTGACTCCTGTCATAGTTCTGTCAGTCCTGAAACAGATGCAGTGTGAGCAGAATTGAGATGTAGCAATGGTGTATAGTATTGTATATAGTTGCTTGAAATTTACTTGATTGACACCTTTTGAAGCATTGAGAGAATTCTATTCAAGGATGTTCAACTGAGTATCCCAATAGAGTCAAACATACTTGAATGCACTATCTTACTGAAAAGATTTTACATTTCTATATTAAGCACATATGGACACAAAAAAAATATATATATAGTAGTTTGAAACAATTTCACAATCATTAATACTTTCATAAATACTGTAATATAGTGCCTTTTCTAATATTTCACTTACTTTTACCTAGCATAGATATTTATCATGTAAAGTAGTATACGTTTAGTGGTCTGTATGCTGACTATATAAAACAAATATTTAAGGGTGTAGACATGAACAGAATAGAAGATAATTCAAATGCTAATAAATCAAGTGTTTAGAGAATTGAATAATTCATTAAGAGTATATTATGTGATTGAGTAAGATATGTTTCCCTAACAAGTCTTAAACCATATAAAAACTATTTCACATCTGAGTAATGCATACAACAAAGTGGTTGATGCACTATACATGTATCTGGCACAATTATGCTTGAAGAAATATAATTTTAATATAACTGATTTTAATACAATTTTAATATAATTAATTTTAATATAATTTTAATACAAATATTTATTCAAAGGCAAAGACGTCAGTTTTTTACTTTTTTCAAAGCTACAAATTTTCAGAATAAGAGAGGGCCAAATATATTAATTTCAATTGTGGAATTACTTTTTAAAGTTTTACTCTTTTCAAGCTTTTGTTCACAAAATATTGTTCATATGGTCTTACATCTTTAACTTCAAATATTTGTCAGTCTACATGTATGTATCTCGCCTTTTGTTTGACTCAGATTTCCTAGGAAATTCTTCAAGACAATACAACTATTTTAAGTATTACCTCAATTTATACTGAAAACTTACAAATTTAACTGTATTTATAGAGTGCTTTAAGATTAAATAATTTAATATAACCTAAACAGACCGATAGGAACATTTATCAGCCAGTCAGTTTCATCACTGGTCAGTCAACACTGGTAAATACATAATGACAGCCAATTTGATTTTTACTTTATTGGAATACACTATTTGTGTACCGATACATTTTGCCAAGATAGCTACCATTTGTTTTTTTTAATAAAACTATACTATTCTCATGTGAAGTTTTGACCTTTTTTTGACAAAAGCTGTTTGTTCCAAATTTTCAAGCCTGTTCACCAAGATTCCACAGAATTAAAAATCAAATTGGTGTGGCTAAAACAATTTTTTACTAACAATTATGACTAATATTATTTTATAGTTCATCCCTGTCGTGGAGATGAGAATCAACGAATGATTGAAGACTATCTAATGTACGAGATCCACTGTATTCTTGGACTTTGACTCCATTACGGAATAATATTAATGTTGGATAACCTCTAATCTGAAAGGTATCAAAATAAAATATAGTGATTTCCTCAAACTTGAGATCCGAAATACATAACCATTGATCGGAAAATATATAGCAACTACCGGTACCAGGGAAAATATATTTGTTGATAAAAACATCTTATTTTTCAAGCTAAGCATATTTTAAATAATACAGATGAAACCATTATGAATCAAATGAACTGGGGTTTTCTGCACCAACTGTGTTAATAAAGATGGGCATATGCCATGGCCTTACAGTGTGCTATGTGGGCACTGCTGCAACAACATAGTCTTAGGCCACACAAAAAAAAACCCATTCTGGTCCTCAGACAATCCTTTTTAAAAAATTGATTTGGGAGGGCATTTTTTGTATTTTGTTTATATTTTGTCAAAATCTAGCTAGTTTGTCATTTTTAAGAAACACAAAATTATTATAAATTCAATATTTATTCAACTCTTAATAAGAAAAAAAAAAAATAAGTAAGAATTTGAAATATCGGCCGAATAATTCTGTGTCCTTATCTATCTACATTTACTCCTTGGAAAATGTTTCAAATCCGTTGGTTTTTATTTTGGTGACTCATTGTTAAAGCATGGATTTTGCTGGCAATTTAAATCGAAGTAAGCGAAAGTAATCTCCCCACAGAGAATATTTTCGGTCATCTCTCTCACAGTCATATTTCTTGAGAGAGATAAGGCACTTTGATTGTAAAAAAATGACAGATTGACTGCAAAATTGTCGCCATCTTTGTGAATAATAAATTAACATTTGATTATTCATAGCCGTTTGTGATTATCAATAGTGTTTCCCATTGTTACATACTTGATAGCCGAGATTAGTGTTCACTTCCTGTTATCAAGAATCGTTGATCACAGGAAATATGAACAAGCGGAAATTATTGACTTTGTTTTTTATTTTCTTTAAATAAAAATGTGTTATACAGCCCATTTTGATGACGAAATAATGAAATGAAATGGGGTTTAACATCCTACTGTTCTGCTCTGAACTGAACTGGGCTAATGAAAACCGGCATACGCCATACTATGAGGGAATTTTTGCCCGGACAGCGGTACTACGGCCTACTCTTATATCGAATTCCAACTGCCAGGGGATCCATTACATGCATGCCAACATGTACACGGGACCTCAGTTTTTCATCCCATCCGAATGACTAGACACCTGTCCTTTGTCCTGCATCCCTGATGATTTTGATGACGGTATCTGAGAACCAGAATATTCTTTTTTGTGTGGCCATATTTCCAATACCAACTATAAAGGGGAAACAACTCAGGATAATCTCAGGGAAACTTTCTTCACCAACACCTGAATCGAAGCCTGGATCTCCTGGTTAGTAAGCCAGTATCTAATGCACTGAGCCACCGTGGCTTCCTTTTTTATTTTACATTATTTTACACTAAATATTAGTGACACTGGCTTACCTGATTATTTTTACATATATCTGAATGTCTTGTACAATCTACATCTGCTATAATAACATCATCTCGACCAGAATATACCTGAGCTAATTCTATCCATGTTGGTGCTAATCTTTTACAATGCCCACACCTATAGAAAATATCAACAAGAAAATAAATAGCTAAACAATTTTCAACAAGGACTGATTATCATCCAAGTATTCAACAAAACAAATCATATGAAATCCAAAGAAATTGATAGTCTTATTTGTGACCTAAATGAAAGAGTTTTATTAAAACTAGCTTAAACTAAGCAAGTTTTTGTCTCCTTGTGAAACTTCAATTAATGTGCTGTAGGCAAAAAGGGGCTAACAGTTGGACTATTTTATTTATATTATCAATGGCATTAAGTGTTAGTCCAAGTCTGAATCAGTTAGTTGCCTGAATCTGATGATTACCAATGCTAATGACATTCTACACACAGAGAACTATCTACTTCCAGAATAATTATATCCCCTGAATGGCCGCTATATCCAAAACCTAGTATACTATTTTGCAAGCGGTTCTACTCTGTTTCATATGTCATACACACAAGGACTAAATAAACATTTGAAATAACATTAAATGGAAGCAGAATAAATAACTGTGGAAGTATACTTAGTGTTTTCGACTAAAATCGTTGATTTCGGATTTAAAATGTTGGTCAACTAGCTTAGTGTATGTTCTCAAGCGGAGCTAATTCTAGACAGATAGCGTAAGTTTAGTATGTGCCAATGACTGGTGGTTGTACAATCATAGAGTATGTCAGTGTTGAGCTACAAGGTTCGCTTGAAGGCTTATCAAACTACATGTAGTCAATAGTGTGGCATTTTGATTATTAAACCTACAACTGTTATACATCACTCAAATGGGCATTGATTATTATTTTTTAGAAATGTATAGTAGTTTTGAATCTGAATAGCAGTAGCATGTATATCTACTCTATTGATGTGTACTTACCAGGGGGCATAAAATTTAACAAAAACTGTTTTTTCTGATATAACTTCATCATATGTTGCATCACTTAATTCTATCATCTCTGACTACAATAAAAAAAAGAATTTAAACATAATATATCTGTGACTGGTTTTTAATCAAATAATTACAATCCTCGTTATCTGGGAATCGTGTAAACCACGCCACTTGACTTAATGACAGGTCTTATAATCTAAAACTCACACGTTAGCACCCCCCTTACTCTTTGTACAATCATGGGATCAAACCCATGACATGCATAGATAACAGACCTAATGATATACAAATCTTGACTACTCGACACTCATCGAGACACAAGAAGAATGTGATGGAGATAAATAATGGATGTACTTACCTCTGGTTCGATCTCTTCAGGTATTTTTTCATCCGTTCTCTCTTTATCTTCATCATTCTTGTCTGATATCATACGACTTACAAACTCTTTTAATTCTTTATGGGTTCTACCACCATTATACGTTTCTACCTAAACACAACAAACAGTAATTATAATCTTTCTATTTGATTAATTTGACAATAAGATTACACCAATCCACATAATTTGGAAATGAAATGAAGGTTTAATATCCTACTTTTCTGCACTAACTGAGATAATGAAGACGGATTATGCCATATTTGAACTGTCAAGGGTTCATTTACATCCACCTCAATGCGCACAATGTATCAATGACTATATACTGTCCATGCTATGCAGCGGGTAAACCATTTTTGATGTTCTTTGTATTTTTCAGAAAGAGAAAGCAATTGACAATTAATAAATAGAGATTTATTTATCACCCAGCCCTTTCATACGAGCACAAATAAGTAAATATCAATCTATGGCAAAGATTTAATTTTACTGAACCCGATTACATAAGGGCGTAGTGATACATCATTTTTTAACAGCAAGTCACCTGTTACAAAAGTCTTATATATTGACCCGGTGTTTCATTAAACCTAATTAAAGCTTTGTATAAATGACTGTGACAAATCTATGAAAGTCACCTTTCTACATATATGTGCAGCTTGTGAAGCTCCTCCTAGGATGTCCTAATCACATGACCGGATACTATTCTCATAGCTTTATATTTTTGGATATGCTTATACTAAATGCATGGTACTAGCCTACCTTTTGTCCATCTATATAATATATCAAAGTGGGATAACCAGTAATATCATGCATGCCACAAACAGTTCCATATTCCTGGCAATCTATCTATAATATAAACAAATATCATAATATACATTGCTATCTATCTATAATATACAAATACAACATTCATGACAATCTATAATATAAATGAAATGAGGTTTAACGTCCTACTATTCTGCTCTGACTGGGATAATGAAGACGGATCTATAATATAAACAAAGATTATAATATACATGGAAATCTAACTATAATACAAACAAACCAGTTTTCTTAATTAAATGTTGAACATACATTATGTAAAAGCTATATCTGCCTATTTCAGGTCTTTCTTTAGGCCTGAAATGCTATCTAAATTATTAATTAAACATTAATTAACTTATCCAGACCATAATCAACTCTCGATGCCATCGCTAGCCTGCGATATTTAGCGTATTGGAATACATTTTGTTTTTTATCATATTGACTTTAGTAATGATGATCGAGGCTAGCCTAAAATTCAAATGCTAATATTTTGGTTCAGAGTGAAGCAATTTGACTGAAATTTTCAACATATTCTATTTACATTATCTATTTTTTTTTAACTATTAGAGCGGGAACCGTCAACTCTTTATAAAATCTCCCATAATGCCCCTTTAAATAATCAGTCTGAGTACATATTTGATATTTTAGCAAAAAAATCAAATGACACATCGTTGTATGGGGAAGTGCTACCAAAAGTAGATTGGACATTGTTTTTTTTAAAACTACAAAACAGGACAGCAAGAAGTACATGAAATTTTTGATGCACCCATTGTAACTCCATCCACCTCTTTATTTTCTTCTCTCGATTTGCATCCCCTTACACAGAGGATTCTTTATAATAAAGATGCCTTATTCAAAATTATTACATTTAATACTTCATTTTATCTTAATTCCCATTTTTATTGAAAACATCTTTTTCCAAAACTGATATCTTGATTCAATCTGATTAAGATACAGATCTATTTTTTGTTTTTATTAAACTTTCGATGGACTACACTACATGAAGATCTGACTAGTTGCACTGGAAGGTCACGGCAGGGGTTGTAAGAGTGGCCTTTCACCCTATGATGTCAGACATTGATTAATCAATCAGCATTGACGTTTCTAGTGGTTTACCCACGTACCGAAACACGTCAATACTGCTTTTACGCAGTTCTAGTTATTATCATTGTTACTTTAAAGATACTAATGATAAATTACTAAGTTTTTAGAATCCCATTCTTCTTCTAGTGTTTCAATTAATAAATCTACACACTACAATACTGTATTTTAGGTATAGTTTTTAGAACACCATTGTACCTGTAATTGTAATGTTTTGTTTGATGAATGTACACACTACACAGTTGTATGGTTTTTGAAAATCTTAATTTGGAGAAACAGAAAATGTCTAGTTTCTAATAAAAAAATGATTGCCTACCTTAGCAATATTAACGTCAGGGTTGAATTCAAATGTTCTAGCCAAATCGTCCCACACTGGAGCTAACTTCTGACAATGTCCACACCATGGAGCGTAGAATTTAACAAAGTAATGACCATACTTGATCACTTCGTCCATGTCTTTCTCCAAAATTTGTAATTGTTTTTTGGGTTCCGGAGGCTGAGGATCTTCTTCTTCTTCATTTGCCTACATTTTAAAACAAATCATTATGTGTCAACCAAGTGAAACAAATTTTGAAAACAAGTTTGACAGGATGTTTTGGAACAATAAAATTTATTTTGCATAATCATGTTGTCAGACCATCTACATGTACTGATAAAATTCTATAGATAATGATATTTATATAGTGCATTCTTCACTTTTTTTTTTTTTTAAAAAAAGCCTGCTGCTCAAAGTGCATTTATATTGCTCTCAATGATGAGCAAGTTGCAGTATTTGAACAACCAAGTTTTTAAGCAATACTTGAAAACATATAAGGATAGAGGAAGTCTAACATGCTCGAGAACAAAATTCCATAAAGTTGATGCGGTCGTACAAAAGGATTTTGATCGAAATATTTTTAAATTTGCTTTCGTCACATTCAACAAGTGTTTACTAATATGTGAAGAATTCTATATTAAGAAAGTGCAGCAGGGATACCTTGACAGCATTAGCCAAATTTGTTGTACAGCTGAAGGTATGTAAAATTAAGGCTGTTGACGATGTGTTGGTCACTGTGTCTTTCAATGTGCCTTACATGTATGTTGGTCTTCTTAAAAAGTAATTTACCATACATGTATGTTGGTAATCTAAGAGAGTAACATACACTCTGTGGGTAATCTAAGATAGTAACTTGCCCTATATTCATCCTCTAAGAAAGTAACTTATGCTATGCTGGACCTCTATTAGACAGCAACTCAACCATTGTTGTTCCTCTAAAACAGTAACTTACCCTACATGTATGTTGGCCCTCTAAGATAGTAACTTACCCTATGTTGGCCCTCTAAGACAGTAACTTACCCTATGTTGGTCTTCTAAGAAAGATTTAAATGAAGATAAATCTCTGTTGCCTTTGTATCGTACAAAATCTGTAGGACTATCGTAGAAATATTTTAATGTAGGATAACCAGTGATATCTTGTTGAGCACATAATGGGGTTTCTTCTGTACAATCAACCTATGATAAGAAAAAAGAGTACTAGGAGTTAAACATCTTTAAACGCTAAATATTCCACACTGAAAAGCAAATATAGAGTTTAAGATCATACACAATAAAAAGCAGTTTTATCAAAATGCATAAGCTTACTGCACATTAGTCGCTCAAGCAGTTTTCTGTGGTCACAGAGCTCACAAAATTTTGAATGACTTAACAGCTAGGATCAGAAAGTTTTCAACTTAATGTTCAAGGGCTATAACTCTGTAAGTCATCTTCAGAAATCAATTTTCTTCTTTATGCCATGAATATAGACCTTAAGTTTCATTTTTAGTGTTGTTCTGTGCTTTTGTTGGGCACTTGGCGCTGCCCATTTTTGTAAAACACCTGCCTGATTATTATATCAAATACATTAATCTGAATGTCAAGACAAATGAAAAGATTGTCATATATAAATTATAAGTGGTATCAGGTAAGCATATCCTGTTTGGTTAATTTGTGCACAACACCTGTCATTTTGGTATGCATGTCCTTAATAACATCACACAGATCTTTACCGAAATAGCTATTTAAATGTAAGTTACCTTTGCAATAACAACTGGACTATCTTGTAAATTATTATATAATTCAGCTAGTTCATTCCATGTTGGTCCTAATCTCTTACAATGACCACACCTACAATAAAACAATGGAAGAATGACAAGAGAATTCACAAAGGTAAGAAGATAGACAGAATATTAAATTTAATGAAAATGGCTATTCTGAATGAATATTATACATTACATTATATCTACTAAGAAAACTGAATTCTTGGATAGCCTTGTCAGTTTGGTTGAAACAATTTATACTGAGCAACTCTATGAATGTGTCAGCACAAGACCCACCACCACATACTCCTGTGGAAAAGTTGAGCAAAATGCTGTATAATGACAACAAATATGGCTATTTTCATATACAATGGCCAAGAGCTACTTAGACTGGAAGTTACTAGCAAGCAGTCATACATGAGAGTAGCCACAGCTGGCCAGCTCAGAGAAACATGTACATTTGACAATTATACATCCTATAAGTCGAATCTGGGGTAGGTTCTATTAACCTATAAACATAGGCGTACGGGGAAATTTTTGACTGGGGGGGGGGGCGGTGGTGGTTGGTGCCCAAAAAATTAGTATGTTACATAATGATAATAAATTTGCTGTTAAATTGGACACATTCAAGAACACAACATTTTTTTATACAACTGTGTGCCCAAATTTTCCCAGCATTTGGTGCCCAAAATGGGGGGGCGGCCGCCCCCCCCAGCTCGTATGCCTATGCCTATAAATAGCCATCGCACATGAAATTTTTTACACATCTATCATATATTAAAGCTGTAAAAAAGACATTGTTAACTTTAGCTCTTTGGTTGTTACAGCAGCTTTATTAGTTAGTACTTTGGTTCAGTATAATAAATATCTCTGAAGCTTGATGGTTTGGCGAGAATAGAATACTAGTACTATAAGGTTCTCATAACTATTGTTGAGTTGCCAAACTTGCCTGGTTTAGCGCGACTAATTTCAAAACAAGGGCAAGTAACCTATTTTGCACTAAAAAATGCCTTTATGTAATGGCTGCTTGTTGTTTACATGTTAAATACAATGTACATAACTATAAATGTGAGAAACTAAGTTACGGCTTATTACAATATATATAAATATTGTGGTATAATTGTCAAATCATTTGGAGATATTTATTTATGATGGGGCACCCTACCCTATATTTTATACAAAGTGAAGCTCTAAAGTATTGCAGAGCTCTTTCCCAGTAACACAGGAGCATATAATTGTAACTGAAACTGCCATAGACTGTGGGCTTTAAAAATAATTCAGAACAGAATTACCGGATACACTGCGCAAAAAAAACAATACGCATGTCAACATAGTCAGAGTTATCTCTCCTTTATCAAATCTTGCAAGATTAGGCGTCTTACCAAATTAATCAATGATGATGTCACATATATATGACGTCAATGAAAATAGTTCTCACACATGTTTTCTTCTTCTTTGTTTTTAGCAGAATGAATTGGTGATTTATCCAATACTCGTATATAATTCAAATCAAAGTAAAATTGAAATTTCACATGAAATGAAATTATTTAATATTTTTTGCGTCACTTGCTAAGCTTAATTGAGAAGTTTTTATATTTGACAATAATCGGGCAAGAGAAACAAAAACTTGTTGTGTTCATTCAAGTTTTGGAGATTTACTATCTCAAACGAAGTCGATAGACACGAGACGTAACTCTTGTTATCTATTGTAGTTACAGAATAATGAGAGCAAACTCCTAGCCCGTGCCTATTTAATATACATGTAGATCTAAATTAAAATCAATTTTTGCATTACTTGAGAAACTTAATTATGAAGATTTTCTATATCTGACTCGCTCTACTCAGGCAATGCCTGTTACATATTATTATTACATGTTATAAAGCACTGTGCTTGAGCAAAGCTTTTTTCCGGTAAAACAGGAGCATAACCAAAACTATCATAGACTGTTGGTTAAAAAAAAAAATTCAGACAGGAACCAAATACACTGGTCCAAACAGGCAATGCACAATGTTGACAGATTTTTAAATATTTGATCAAAGTGCAATGTATGTGTTTCTGAATTCTTGCTACTGCTTCTTCCTTTAAGGTAATTAACTGTGCGAATATACTTTTCTTTCCATATCGCCTTGCTCATACCTGTTGGCCTACCAGTAAACTGACTGTCACAAAATACATTAAAACGAATAAAACTTAACACGGTGATCCATTATCATCGCAGTAATCCATTAAATACCCTGCACAGACTTAACTCTGCCCGCACAGATTAGTCAATGGAAATCAGGCAGTGATTCATTCATGGGCGGGGGTAATCTGTCTGTGAGGTGAAATTTGCGCTCAACATAATATAGAGCGAAGCTCTACAGCATCGCGCGAAGCGCGGTGGTTGAGCAAAGCTCTTTTCCGTTAACACAGGAGCGTAACTGAAATTGTCACCCACAGACTGTTGATTAAAAAAAAATTCAGACAGGAACCGGATACACTGGGCAAAACAGGCAATGCGCATGTCAACTTACCAAATCTCGCCCAAGCGAGATTACGCGCCTCATAGAACTATTTCTATGACGCGTCTAATCAATGACGTCACATATTTTGACGTCAATGAAAATAATTCTCACACTTTTTTGTTCTTTTTTAAAAAACAAAATTAATGTATACAAATTAGATCTAAATGAAAATCAATTTGGAAAAACTAAATTATTTAACATTTTTTGTATCACTTGAGAAAATTAATTATGAAGGTTTTATATTTGACAATAATCAGCTTCGCTCTACTCAGGCAATGCCTGTTACATATTACATATCCGGTTCTGGTCTGATTTTTTTTTTAACCAAATGTCTGTGACAGTTTAGGTTATGCACCTGTGTTACCCGAAAAGAGCTCTTCGCGTCACTTTAGAGCTTCGCTCTATATTAATCAAATACCAGTATATAGAAAAAAAACAATGGTGTAGAGTTGGAGGGTGTGTGTTTTGGTGGGGAGTGAATTCATGAGAAGGGGAGTTTCTATTCTTGGACAGTATTATTAGGCCGTGTTGAATTGATTCCTTGTTTCTCCTGCCACCACTCTGGCAATCATGTGCGGTAGTGCGGTAAACACAACACAAAGTGGGTTTCAAAACACAAAGTGGTCTGGCATAATACCTATATAGTCTGAGGGTTGTGTACCATTTTTAATAATATTATAAATAATCTAGTTATATTATTGGTTAGAATAAAAACACAGATAATATTTAATTAAATAAATTTAATAACAAACTAAAATTTGGTAACAAGTGGCTTCTTTGTTTAACTTTTTAAAAAATGAAATAACCATATTTTGATATAAATTTTCCGTATTCTTGTGTTAAAATACAATGGAAACATTCCAGTTATAATTTGATTCGCTTGTTGAGTTATAGATGGTTTCGATAATATCATCGAACGTGAAAGTGCTGGGAATAACCACCAAAGTCGAGTCGAGATAAGTAAATTCGCGTACCGGTCGGCCTAATTTATTTATTGATGTTCAAGGAAATAATAGTGGTCCCGTTTGTTCGTTCGTTTGTTAAACTCCAGAAACGAGCGAACGGGGCCACTATTATTTCCTTGAACATCAATAAATTAGGCCGACCGGTACGGTCTTATTATTCAGTAAACACTTCAGACAACGATATAAAATCACCCACCAGGGTGCATAAAACATAATGAAATAACGTTTAGAGCTGACAGCTTCTTCAAAAGTGTCTGCTTTCAGCGATTTTACTTGGTCACCATGTTCACCGTCGGCTAAATACAGGGCAACACACGAGAATAAACTGAGAAGCAACACGTAAACACTGGAGGCCGACATATTGGTTTTTGAAAGTGTTTGAGATTGTCGTAAACGGGTTTTCTTTTTGTGTTAAAGTTTTAATCATATTCTAGAAAACTTGCTTTTCATTAATTCATATATAGCACTGTGGAAAAAAGCATTGGTGTTTAATCATTGTGTTTGATTTTGATAAATACTGTTATAATGTCAAAAATTTTGTTGTCGTAAAACCGGAAGTTTTGCACCACGACCCAGCAATCGTTCTTTTCCGCCATTGCTACTGTGGAAAGTGTTCTGTTCTCGTAAGAGCTAAGGCCAATCAGGCGACTTACACTATTATTTCACAACATCCGACCACTTAAATAAACTAAAAAAGAAATGGCTTCTCAAGACGAACTTGCTTGCGTTTATGCAGCTCTTCTGTTGTCAGACGACAACGTTGCCATCACCGTAAGTAGCCAGTCGATCACGTGGAATATAGATTTACATGGTTTTTTTTTTTATCAATCCAACACCCAATTTGTTAGTGACAGTTAGGGTGCCCCACCATAAATCAATATCTCCAAATATCTCGACAATAACTATATATACACCAAGCCTTAAAGGAGCTAAATCGCTAACATTTGGGACCTAGAAATTGACAAAAGTGGGTCGCAACGCATATAATACTGTAATATGAATGTATATAAACTGATTTACATTCAATGGTTTCCGTTTTTACTCCAATTTCAAATCAGTTATGTTCGGCGAAATAAGCCAGCAGTCTCAAGCGAGTGCAAATTTCTAGTGTCTGGTTATTCCAGTCTACATACACCGTTTGATTTGGTGCAATGTGTCTAGCCTCGTCCCTCGAGTATCTTGATATATCTGGGGCTGAAGCACATTATGGTACACGATTCGTGTACCAACTGTAAATTGTTTATTTTGTCTTAAATATTGGATATCAAAAGCCCATCTTTTTTCCGGTAAGATCACAACATGAATGTTGATTTAATTTGACAAATAATTCGTGTTTTCAATGTTGAAGATTTTGGATGATATTGAGTTAGAGACTTAGCTACTTTAAATCAGTTTCAAACATTTATAGTCACTTAATAAAGGGTCATGCTGTGCTTAAAGTTAATAGCTATGACCATTTTAATCATCCATAAATAATACACTGAAAGATGGTTCCGAATGTCGCCCATAACATTCAAGCACGTGTGAGTAAAAAATAGTTTACGTGCCCTTGTTTTGAAAGTATTCTCGCTTAACCAGTCGACCGATCGTTCTACGTTTGATTAGGCCTAATAGGCCAGGACAATCAAGACTACTTTTTTACGAAACATGACAAAGCTGGAACAATGAATTGAATTTAGAATCACGCACGTTAGGCAACTCAACAATTGTTTTAAAAACCTTGTAAAAGTAAAATGAAACTACTGCTAGTATCATGTTCTTTCACCCTATTAGGGTGCCCCACCATAAATCAATATCTCCAAATATGTCCGCATTTATACCAAAACAATGGTATATACAATTGATAACAAGTCTTAACTTACCATCTCAAATTTATTTTATAATCCCTAAATACTAAAATAGTAGTAAACAAACAGTTGTGTTGTATTTAACATTTTGTATCCAATTTTGTTTCACCTGCTTACCTAAATTTCGTTTTGTCTTATATGGCTGAGTTATGTAGATTTGGGAGAACGATAGATCCGAGACGGTCCTCAGCATTTTAGCACATATGAAGTCCTATGCGATTGTCACTAGGGCAAGTCTCGGGATGTAAACATGGCTCGCGCTAACCTTTACCCTAACCCACAATCCACATATGTATGACGTTTTATGTGCCGGACTGTCTCCAATCTTGCATTTTCCGTAGATTTGTGCATTACCCAATATTTAGATTTCATGGCTTCTGCCAAACCTTTAAGCAGACGGTGGCATATTTTTAACAGTATACCGACTCTAGCGAGGTAAGCAAGGTCTTATTTTCTCACTAAAATGTTCCTTTACATTGTTCAGGCATTCACAAAGACTGACACACGAATGTTTGCTATGTAATTGAGTGAGGGCCGATACTTTTTCAACAAAGATTCTCTATGAAACATTGCAGAAAGCTAGGTCAATAAATCTAATTTAGAAACACTCACGTTGAGAACCTTGTAAAAACAAAAGCAAAATACTACTAGATTGCTTTTATTTCCTAAAAAACGGCGCTTACTAAACCAAAAGATGCTGCTTCTAATGGTATAATTCATAATATAGCAAATTTGAAAAAAAAACCAAAATGAAGGTAATTTTCTAAAGCTGCTGTAACAAAGAATTGGTTAAATATTTTTATTCAGAATTTTAACTATAGATTTTTTTTCTAAGGCTTTAATAGTCGATAGATGAGTTGAAAATTTCACATGGGATGATGGCTATTTATAACCTCATTGACTACTGGTTATTCTCTCACTGGATGCCTAGCCAGAAATCAGTTTGGGACTAGTCACTAGGAATTTTGGCTGTGTTGGGCACCAAACAGTTGTCATAGTGCCCATCCTCTTGGCCCAGTGGGTGAATGAAAGTAGGACATTTAACCCTAAGTTTCAGTTGTCATAGTGTGTTACTTTAAACTTAGTTGGCGATTAACCTGTATATACGGGACAGTACCATATACATGTATATTAAAGATACATTATGTAAGGTTTAAATATAGAGCCGGCCGTTCCTGCTATAATAGTTCATAAACAGATAATCAGCTAAAACACAGTACATGTATTTGTGACAAGTGTCACATGTATATTGACTTGAAATTTGGTTGTCTTTAAGAGAGATCATTATTGAAAAAGGTGAATATAAGAAATGGACTGTAAATTCTCTATATCGTTTCCAAACTGTAACATCAAAAAATTGAAACTGGACAAATACTTTGTTTTACCCAAATGCAAAATGAATATATTGAAAATTTCATTCAAATTACTTTATTCTGAGCGAAAATAATAAGCCTTTGAATGTTTGAAACTGATTGCAAGCACTGTACGGATCGTTCGAACCTAAGCCTTGCTTCACCATTTTTACGTAAATCATTTTAAAGTGGCTGAACCGGTCTAATCTGCTTAAAATCTAACCCATTTGATGGCATCGAGAGTTGATTATGGCTCTGTCATGTTATTAAATGTCTAATTAATAGTTTATTTGCTAACAACAAAAGAGTGAAAGTTGAATCTCAGAAGGAATATTGGTCCAATATATGTTTTAGTATAATTTGCAAAGATAGTAATTGAAAATTTCGCAAATATTTGACATCTGCAGATTACAAAAAGTGCAGTCAACAAACTAAACATTATCAAAATGAAAGTTAACTTAAACAACCAAATGTCTGGTCAAAATTTATCTAAATGGGCCTATACGTCATTGGATTCCTATTAAATAACAAATATTAAATCCTTTTGAGATTTTGTTATCACTGTTGTGACTAATCCATTGTCGTTTTGACTAAAAGTTGGGTCCTCTTTTACCTGATTTTCAGCTGCTTTGTTTTAAGACCGTTCACAGGAATTGTTATTGATATATATTATTTTTTCAGGCTGATAAAATTAACACCATTTTAAGAACTGCTGGTGTTTCAGTTGAACCATACTGGCCATGTAAGTTGTGTTTAAATCGTGATACATGTATATGCTTATGTTAAAATTGGTTGCTTTAAATCAATCTGTGGTTATCCATATTTCTTCCATGCTGGTGATGGAAGATGAAATGGGACAAGTATATCTATTTGGATCACCCTTCCAGTAACAATCTACTGGGAACAGAGATGCTGTTTGTAAGATTACATGTGGGACCCTACTCAACACTAATGCCCTGGTTCTGTTACCTCAAGTCTGTCTTTGCACTTTTTGGGGGTTGTCATTGATATGGAAGGTTGTATATTTATTCGGATGAGACGAAAGAGGTCTTGCATATAAATTGCCTCTGGAAAAGATGCTGCAGCAGTTTGAAATTTGAAGTAGAAAAGGCGGAAAGCCGGAAATACTTCAAAATCCCTCCCCATCTTTCATCATAAGCATGAAAATGGCAATATTTGTCTAAGAGTGGGGTATTGTGTTGATAACATTATGGGAATTGTAGACTAATACGTAATCTACTGTCTCCACTGCATGGATTATGGTAAACCACCTTTGTCAGTTTCACTTTTCCATCTTACATATACAAGGTATTTTACCCTTTGTTTTAACAGCCTTGTTCAGTAAAGCTTTAGATGGTGTTAACGTAAAAGAATTGATCACCAATATTGGTAGTGCCGCTGGTTCTGCCCCAGCAGCTGCTGCTCCAGCTGCAGGTGAAGCTGATCCTGCCGCAGGTAATTATTTAAGCAAAGACTGGTTTATGTTTCATTATTTCAATGACTTGGGACACAGTTCTATAGATTATGATTATTTCTGTCATTAACTGACTCCAATTGCACAGTATAGTCCTAATTTCGTAACTTGGACATTTTAGAATGCATCTAGATTGATTGTTGTTACCAATGATGTTTGCCAAGGATGTGAATCTTAATGTGTACTTTAGATTAGTCTTTCTGAGGTAACAACACTCCGTCTTGTCATTCAATTCACTATGTTTAAAAATAAAGCTGAATATTTTACTACATCAACCCCCTGTGCAATCCTCTGCAGAGTGGATCTTTTTATATCACTATATTCAATATACTTGATGGTTGGGTTGTCTTCATTCCATTGATATTAAGACATACATGTACTTTCTATCATTTAATTCATTACCATTCATGAAAACAATAGCCAGCAACAGTTTGTTAGGTGTTGGTATATTTATTGTCCCCCTTCTTTCGAAGGAAGCAGGGGACTATTAGAGTGGATCTGTATGTCTGTCTGTGCGTCTGTTATTTGGGACACAATAACTCTTCTAATTTAGCTAGAATGTTCAAACATGGTGTAGGTGTTTATTAGGTAAATGCCTTGATGGAGTTCGAAGATGAGCATTTTCTGCTTAGGGTGTACAGATAAGCAATTTGATTGGTTGATGCTTTAAGACACTTTACCTTAACCCTTCCTGAGCTAACCACTTCATACCCATAGAGGGCTATGCAAATATTGAGTAAAAATCAAGCTTTAGATCCTGTTGTGAAAAACCATGCATACCTTGAATATGAATGCGACTACAACTGTAAAATTGCAAATGTATATCCATTATATATGACTTGGGATTTTGCATATGTTTAGTTTAGATTTTATGGTTACTATGGTTACCAGTGTGATTCAAAATGGCTGCCATATTATTGTCATAAATGAAATATTGGATATTTTCTTGTCATTAAAAAATTCAAGATGGTCAGGAATAAAGCTATATGGATTATTAACATGATAGATATCTCTTTTGTAAGAATAGTATAGGTTTTTTGGGAAAAGTCACTAAATTGTGATAATGTTTTTTTCTAAAAATAATTATATGTAAACGAGCAGTATTGACAATTTTGCGGTAGGCAACACACATATAAAAATCATCAGTAACAAGTTTTTATTAACAATAAAATAAAAATAAATTAAATATTTGGAAAATAACAATAATATATACCGAAATATTCACATTAGGGTTGCCATGGTAACCAATTTGACCATATCGTCTACGTCTATATTGGTAGCGATCTAAGTGCGCGACTGTATAAAAGCAGACGAATAATTTCCTCCTGAGAAGTCTCCCTTTTTTGTGTCTTTACTTTGTGACAAACATCTGAATTTTCATCACAAGAAGAATCCCCACTAATAGTATAGTCACTACCCGAATCCAATATAGGCGTGACGTCATCGACATAGGGACTCACGGCTAAATTCAGCCGAAGTCTTTTTGTTGTGAAGGACGCCATTCCTCGGCTGTTCTGACTATTGATGGTTGTTCCGTCAATAGAGGAAACCCCCTCGTAATGAAAACTCGTGTTATACACCATCTAAGGTTAAAACCATGCTTTTACAGGGGAGTAAACCAAGTTAAATAAACTTCCCGACTATCGTCGAGTGCCGCTCTGACAGACTATAAAATTATCCCGACAATCGTCGGGATTAGCTCAGGAAGGGTTAAGTTCTAATTAAGTGAGAGTGACAAAAACTGGGTGTATAGTTTCATTACATCAATACCTTAAGTAACAAAGTTAGATGCTTAGTATTTTCTGCTTAGACAAAGTAGAGACTTCAATCTGATTGGTTGGGACTTTGGGACACAATAACTCTCTAATTAAGCTAGACTGTTCAAATTTGCAGGGCTGTCATAATGGAATGTAATGAGTAATGGAATATTTCAAAAGTAATGGAAATGTAATTACATTCCAAAAATCATGTAGTTAAAGGTTTAATAAAATTAGACATCAAAAATTCAGTTGAATCAAATTAATAATTGCTCCCTGAAGCTGTTGTTACCAATGATGATTTGCCAAGAATGTGAATCTTAATGTGCTTTAGATTAGTCTTTCTGAGGTAGCAATGGCATTAGATTTACAGATAAGTTGGGCTTGCCAACCAGTAGGTCCAAGGTTTGATCCTGGTGTTGGCTGAGAAAATTCCTTGGGATATTCCAGTCTTGTATTCCCCTAGTCATTAGTGCAGGGTTGAGATACATGATGTACATGCATGCTCATCTTTATTTGGGGTCTGTGCAGAAAGATGTTAAACACATTTCATTTATAAATTGACTTATGTGATCATAATGTTATGTACTTTATTGTTTCAGAAGCCAAGAAAGAAGAAAAGAAAGTAGAATCTGAAGAATCTGATGATGACATGGGATTTGGTACGTTTATAATTTACAATAAAAAAAAACAGTTTTACTTGTGTTAAAGGTGGAAAATAGAAATAGTTGAAGGAATGGATTCTTCCAGACACAGCTATTCAAAATTTAATGTCAGAAAATATTCCAATGAAAGCAGGTTGTGAATAATTGTCCTTCCTTACATGACCCGAAACTAATGGCTTATTATAATTCATTTCCTTTTGATATGGTAGTGAATTATCAATTTTAATTTCTGTTTTCATTTGACCACCATTTATTTTTTTTTTAGAAAAGCTACCACAATGTAGTATCTGAACCCTCCTCTTGACTGTATTCGTTTAAATTTATGAACTATTTTTTTTTCTAATTTCAGGTCTATTTGACTAAATACCAGAGATTTCTAGTATAAAAGAAAATAAAAATATGTAAAAAAAAAAAAAATGCAATAAGTTTTTATAGACCCATGTGTATTTCATATTGTTGTAAATCATTGTGACGGTTGTCTGTTTATTGTACAGGTGAAAATTTGCCCGAGTGCTAACATCCAATCCTTTGAGCCTGCTATGCTCTGTCCAATCCTTTGAGCCTGCTATGCCACGATATGTAATTTGCCTTAATCAAACCCTTACCGTTAAAGGACCATTCTCATAGAAAATCATGATTTGGTGATTACATGTACATATCCCATTCCAATCAACCTTTTGATATTTGTTGTGGTTGGTTCTGATCTGTCGAACAACTGGCGTGTCCAACCTCGTGGTTTTCTCCGGTTTCCTCCCACTGCTAAAGACCCCTACGCACAAGCGAATTATTGAAATAAAATTAAACCACGTTAGTCCCAAAATGACCTTGATTTTGTCGAGTGGACTTCAAACCCCATTTCTCTCTGATCTGTCGAAAACTACACTGCAACAATAGTAAACTTCAATTGATGAGAGCCAGTAGATGCTGGAGGGTCCTGTCTGGTTAAGAAGTTTACCGATTAAAATCTTATAATTTTTTTTTTTTTTTTTTAACTGAGAGTTCTCATAGAGGAAGGATTGTCAATGGGGCCAAAAAAGAAACTAAATATTTGTGGTGCACATGCTGTGTTGAAATCGATTCCATTTGGATGGGTAAAGTGTCCAGAATCCTACAAACATTCTAAAAAAGGTTATTTGAAAACTAGATTGCAGTAATTCCTTTTTATGCACCCAGATTTTCATGTGGACGTATATTGTCGCCCCTGTCTGTTCATTGTGGTCACAATAGTTATTCGATTTTGACGAAACTTGAAACATAGTTTTATCCCAAAGACCCGTTTTCCTTCAGTTATTGGACTGGATTATGGCCCCTTATTGTATTTTATACGCCCACATTGTAATACCCAAGCATTCAAAGAATGGATTATTGTTCTGTTCTGTTTCACAATGAGTTAAAAATATTGCATCAAATCTATTTGGGGTTTTTTTTTATGATTGCAATGAAATGAAAATGGAATTGAACACCCTACTTTTCTGCTCCATCTGGGCTAATATTATATACCCCAACTTGCGATCTCGTAGCTGTCAAAACTCGAGCTTGTGCCTTCAAAATATTCATCAGTGTTGGCTTAAGGGTTGTGTGCATAGGAACTTCTTTTTTTGCTGGGACGGCATAACTTTTAGTTTTGTTCATTTAAAGAATACACGCACACTTAAGAATGAAATGTAAAGGATCGCTGACAATAGGGGTTCGTTCGCTCATGAACCCAGTACTACACACCAAAATTGAAGTAAAGATAGTTTGCCAGGCAGCAAAATAAAGGCCCAAAATAGCCTAATCCTTCGAGCAGTCGACAAGGGCTGTCACATATTTATACTTTTGTATTTAATTAAAGATAGTTTGCCAGTCAACAAAATATAGGCCCAAAGTAGCTTGATCATTCCAGCAGCCGACACTCGACAAGGGCTGTCACATAGTTATACTTTTGTATTTAATAGAAACAATTACAAGAGATTAATATCAATTTCATAACTGGAAGTTATTTACTGTAATTGCTCAAATTCAATAGACTTCTTTTTGTACGCTCACATTGAAGTGGCGTCGTGTACTGTCGTCGTCCCTGTCCGGCGTCAACAATTGCTTGTGGAAGTTCAAGAGACTAATGTTAATTACTGTCAGAGTTAGGCCCCATGATCACTTTGAAAAATCTTGAAGCCCTAGAGAAATAGGCCAGCTCAATTTTTCGTCATAGGTCACGAGATGTAAACAGGGCTAGCGCTAATCCCAACACTAACCCTGGACCTAGCCCGAATACTTACCCTAGCCAACAATCGCGTACCCTAACCTTATTTACAGCTCAACGACCTTGACAAAAATTGAGCTGGCCTTAGCAAATAGATTTAGCCCGCCCTAGAGGCTGATGTTAATATCCGATTGACTTGAAATTTAAAGTGTTTTCGGTCACTAGACGAAGAAAGCCTTTTGATTTTCAGCAATTTCCGATAAGTACTGCCGGGGTTATTGCCCTTGATCACCTTAAAATATCTTGTGGACGCTCTAGAAGTTAAAGTTACTATCCGATGGACTTTAAATTTATACATTTAAATTTATAATTATTGCCAGAGTTCTTGTCCTTGATCACTCTGAAGCGAATTGCCTTTAAATTTATACAGTGTCTAAGTTCAATGAGACGAGAGAGAGAAATGGGGTTTAACGTCCACTCGACACAAACTAGGTCATTTTGGGACTATTAAAATGGTTTCGTCCGTCTGTCTGTCCGTCACACTTTTTGGGACACAATAACTCTCCTACTTAAGCTAGACTGTTCAAACTTGGTGTAGGTTCGCTAGCCTGGAGGTCGGGTGTTCGATAACCTGGGGATCACGTGGCTAAGTGGGTAAGACGCTAGCTCGCTAGCCTGGAGGTCGGGTGTTCGATCCCTGCATTGGCCGAGAAAGTTCATCCAGATTTTCCGGCGTGGTTCTCCCTTGTCAGTGATGCAGGACGGAGGGGCTGACAGTGACAAGGAAAGCTGTCTAGTCGTTCGGATGGGACGAAAAACTGAGGTCCCGTGTACACATTGGCGTGCACGTAAAAGATCCCTTGGCAGTTGGAATTCGATATAAGAGTAGACCGTAGTGCCACTGTCCGGGCAAAATTTCCCTCATAGCACACTGTATGGCGTATGTCCGTCTTCATTAGCCCAGGTTAGGAGCAGAAAAGTAGGACGTTAAACTCCATTTCATTTCATTTGTTCGATAACCTGCATTGGCCGAGAAAGTTCATCCAGATTTTCCGGCGTGGTTTCCCCTTGGCAGTGATGCAGGACGGAGCTAGGGCCTGACAAGGACAGTTGTCTAGTCATTCGGATGAGACGAAAAACCGAGGTCCTGTGTACATATTGGCGTGAACGTAAAAGATCCCTTGGCAGTTGGAATTCGATATAAGAGTAGGCCGTAGCGCCGCTGCCCGGGCAAAATTTTCCTCATAGCACACTATGGCGTATGCCCGTCTTCATTAGCCCAGTTTAGGAGCATAACAGTAGGACGTTAAACCCCATTTCATTTCATTTGGTGTGAGTGAGTTCGAAGATGAGCATTTTCTGCTTAAGGTAAGCAGATATAAGCAATTTGATTGGTTGATGCTTTGGGACACGATAACTTTAGGTCTAATTAAGTGAGAATGATGAAACTTGGTTTAGAGTTTCATTACATCAATACCTTGACTAAGTTCGATAATGAGCATTCTCTGCCCAGGGTAAGCAGAGGGATAAGGAATTTGATTGGCCGAGACTTTGGAACTCAATAACTCGCCTTCTAATTGAGCTAGAATGTTCAAACTTGATGAAGTTCGAAGTTGAACATTTTCTGCTTTGGGTAAGCAAAGATAAGCAATTTGATTGATTGATGCTTTCGGACACAATAACTTTAGTTCTAATTAAGTGAGAGTGATGAAACTTGGTGTATAGTTTCATTACATCAATACCTTAACTAAGATCGATAATGGACATTTTCTGATCAGGGTAAGCAGATCGATAAATAATTTTATTGGCCGAGACTTAGGAACACAATAACCCTCCTAATTGGGCTAGAAAGTTCAAACTTGGTGTAGGTGTTTATTAGGTCGATGTCTTGATGGAATTCGATGTTGAGCATTTTTCTGTTCAGGGTTATAAGCAGAGCGATAAGCAATTTGATTGGTCGATACTTTAGAACGCACCAACTCTTTTTCTAATTAAGGTAGAATGTTCAAACTTGGTGTAGGTATGCCTTGATGGAGTTCGATGATAAACATTGTCTGCTTACTGTAAGCAGAATTAAGCAATCTGATTGGTTGATGCTTTTGGGCACGATAACTTTGGTTATAATTAAATGAGAGTGATGAAACTCCGAGTATAGATTCATTATAATATTACCTTGACTAAGTTCGATGATGAGAATTTTCTGCTTAGGCTAAGGAGCGATAAGCAATTTGATTGGTCAAGACTTTGGGACGTAACACCTCTGCTTTTAATTGAGGTAGAATGTTTAAACTTGACGTAGAGTTCAATGATTAACATTTCGAGCTAAAACTAAGCTGAGTTAAGCAATTTCATTGGTCGATGCTATGGGACAAGATAACTTTGATTCTATCTGATAGAGAGTGACAAAACTTAGTGTATAGTTGATAATCAGTTTGATTGCTTGATAGTTTTGAAAAAAAAATAATGTGTGATTAATTAATATGTGTGATCTATTTATTTTGGGATTTTGGCGTTGAACATCAGCCTCGATGTTGGCTTGTTTTATTTCAATCACTCGCTTGCTCGTAGGGTTCTTTAGCAGTTGGAGGTAACCGGAGGACCCGGCGAAAACCCACGAGGTTGGACAGACGACCCCACTGCTTGTCACGTACAACCGGGGAATCGAAACCACGCCAGTTGACTAAATAACAGACCTTATGATACAGCTCGCACGTGCTAACCATTCGGCCATCCAACCCACTTCAATGAGACGATAATTACTGCAAAGGTTATGGCCCTTGATCACTTTGGTAAATGTTGTGGACACCCTAAGAGGCTATGGCAATATCTGATCGACTTTAAATTTATACACAGTGTTAAGGTCACGAGGGGAAGAATCCTATTCATTTCCGATAATTACTGCCAGGATTTTGGCCGTTGATTACATGAGAAATCCCGTGGATGGGCTAAAAAAAAGTTAATATAAATTTCTAATGATTTCTGATAATTACTTAATGGGTTGTTACCAAATTCCGATTTTGATGAAACCTTAAAGATAGGTTAAAATCCTGTTGTTCTCTGTCCACCCCCTGCATAATGTGGGCGTATCTTGCATGGTAACCGCTTGTTGATTTAAATAATACATGAAAATGTAATACAGATGTGGCCGTATAACAACTGTAGGTAGCCTCTATCCTTCACCAAGTTTTCTGAAAAGGTGGGTAACTCAAGAAATATCGATAGGGATCGTCCTCTC